TTAAAAAAGAAAAAAAAAAAACATAAAAAAAAATCCATATAAAACATAGGCTTAAGCACACTCAAAACAAGAAGAATACTTTCAAGGAATAAAGTTATTAAGTACATATTCCTAGAACATGTGTGTACCTTGGCAATCGGATTCTCATGTCATTCATCTCCTCAGGCAACTTATCAACCCCCAAAGCAGTACCTGGCTCGAAATCACTTGAGCCAAATCTAGATGCTATGCCCACTGAAACCATTTCCCAAAAACTCTAGATGATGTTATAACCTCAAAACTCAATCACCGACCAAGTATAGTTTCCTAAAAAAATAAATCTATATATAATAAAAATACCTAATTAGTTTTTGACAGATGATCAATCATTCATATAAATGAAATGTAACACATTTGCATACTGAGGGATAAAGTTCAAAACTATAAAAATAAATGAAAGAACTCAAATGCATAGTGAACAGTCATTCCTATACAATCAAGAATATTATTCTAATTTCTAACAAAACATACAACAACCAGACATAAAGTGAAGTAAAAATGATGAAAAATCAAACACAATAACTATATATATATATATATATATATATATATATATATATTCCTCCATTAGAACAGAGTCCTTCGGTAGTAGCAGGTCCCTCGAATCGCGAATCTCTTAAAAAATTGGGGTCAATAGCTTTAGCACGGCTTTGCCGTCCTCCATCTCATGTTGCGACCCGGTGATCTGAACAACCTACAGCACTAATATTTACAAACATTGTAACTGAATTATAAAAAAACTTTTATATGTCAAGTTGTTGGTTCTGTTATTATTTTGTATAAAGCAGTATAAAATCGAAAATATTTACTTTGAATTAGAACAATAACAATCTCAACATATATAAATGGTGTTGTTTCTCTTAGTTAAATGAATTCACACATGTATATGTCGAAGAAATTTATACATTCAAAAAAATTACCACATCGGAATGTTTGGGAATCTCTGGCATGGGTCTTCACTGAGTCGATATTCATGTTACTTTTAATTTGAGAAACATCGTCAAACAAAAACCCAAAGGAAATCAAACTCAGCTAATATAGTGAGCAATAAAATCAAGAAATACGCTAGACATTACCCCCCGTCCAATACGCTGTTGATATAGTAGGATGAAATAAACAAAAAGGTCGGTGGACTTTAAGGAAATCCCAATTTACTATAGAATTCGTAGTCAGTAAAAAGCCGTTCCCTGATCCAGTAATACCACCTCTTTTTCAAGTTAAACTAACCAAAAGTCTTCACAAACAAAAAGGATAAAAGATTAGGAGAAATGAGCAGAACAAAAATCTGTAGAGAGAAGCACCTTTTTTTTTCTCCACTTTCTATGGCACAAATATCATTCAAAACCGTCGTCATTATTACCCATTATTTGGCATTCAAAACCCGGTGATTTTGTTAATTATCTTTCGGTGGACAGGTGCGCAGAACATGAAGATGTTCTTCCCGTCAGTTGCTGGAAGAAGAGGATAGCCGTCACCATCATTAGGTGGGGCCGGTGATTCCTCGACAGGAGGGCATCCATGGGCAACAGTGCCTGGCCGAAGTCGACATGCTGGTGGCAGCATGAGAGCGTCGAACTCACCGCTCACGTCGTCCACGCCACGAACCTCGCGGAGCACCGAGAGGGTACGCTTCGGGTAACCGCGCTCGATGAGAGTAGTGGAGGAAGAGAGAGCCGCTGATGAGAGGAGGGTCGGGGCAGCCGCTCAACCGAGGCTATCTTCTTAAGAAAACAATTGAAATCACTAAGAAATAAAATGAAAAAAAAAAACTCTAAGAAATATTAGCAAAAAAGTACCCCATATCTGTCGATCCATAGGCCAAGCAGCAGGACTTGCATCGCTGTCAGAATTACTCGTGGTCTTCCAACTGAAATCCCTTGCATTCATCAGTGACACCTCATTCTCTGGTGCCGATGTGGTTGTGGTGCACGTTTCAGCATCACGAAAATGAAAAGGGGTTCCTTTATTATATATGATATTTAACTTCAATGTAAATAATCTAATTTTAAAATAATAAACAACCATGAAAACCGGAGCTCAATCGATGAGCTCCCCCTGTCAATTTGGCCAAACAAATTCTTGTTCTAAAGTCTAAACAACAAGGTTCATACAGTAACGGAATGATACCAGCTTTCATAGAAGCATCAGCCTGTGCGACGTTCCTCGCCATGGCAGTCAGAAGCACAATCCCGTGCTCTGCGGTGGCAATCGTGTTCTTCGTTGGAGCATTCACCACCAGTCACCTGAACTTTGTTGTCGCCTGCAAATCCACGTTGTCGATCCTGACGCTGGCTCGCCCCACCACCTTCAGCCTCCCCTTGGCCGACCCGAACACCTTCTGCTTCCAAATCCCCTTTGAGAAGGCTGTCGAATGTCGATGGTGGCTCGGAGGGTCTCTGGCCTTGGGCTTGGCTGATTGTTGGGGTTTCTAGCTACCACTGTGTGGTGATTTTTGTTGGAATTATTAAGCTCAGTGTGATTGATCGTGCATGTTTTATCTTCATGCAGAACATTTTAGCATTTTATCTGTTATTTTCCCTTTTATGTTTTCCCTTAAAGTGGCGCTTTACTTATTAAGTCGCGCTTCTTTTTAATGCTTTTCTCTTGTCACGAGTTGCGTGGTTATTGGCACACGTGTTATTTTCTTATTAGCTATTATGTTCCCCACGTGATAAAAGATGTTAGCTGGGGGTTTTCTTCTGTAATTCGAACTGAACATTTTGAGAGCTCTTAGCTCAATTTAATGGTGATATAAGATTTACAAATTTTGTTGGCGAATTCATCAAGTATTTGTTAGATTAGCTCAAGCTTTCATGGTATCTAGAGCATGTCTCTAATTTCCGATGGCGCAGAACAATGATGAGCAAGGTCGATTGATAGTTGGGCGATACACATACACTCGAGATATAGATCCACTTCTCTTCATGGATCGGATCATCCTGGTTTGGTTCTGGTAACTAATCTGCTCACTGGTAGAAATTATTTACATTGGAGCCATGCGAGGAAGCTTGCCCTAGGAACTAAGTCCACGCTCGGCTTCATCGATGGAACAGTGGAAATTTAAGAACGAGGTACACAGGAGTTCGAGCAATATAAAAAGGTACAATCTATGGTCATTTCCTGGATGCTTAATTCAATATCTAAGGAAATTGTTGAAGCTTTTATATATAAAAAAAATGCAAAGCAATTATGGGATGAGTTGGCCAAGAGGTATGGTGAAAGCAATAGTCCTCTTAAATATCAGTTGCAGAAAAAGATTGCTACCTTTTCACAAGGAACATTAACTGTTCCTGCATATTACACAAAGTTGAAATGCTTATGGGATGAGCATTCATGCATTGTGACTGGTTCAAAGAAGGCATATAGTGATAATGAAATGGAGACTAAGCTCATGCAGCTTCTCATGGGGCTTAATGAAGTGTTTGAACCAGTGAAGAATATGATATTACTATTGGAACCACTGCCTACTATCAATAGAGCATATTCTATGATACTAAAGGTAGAGAAACAAAAATGTTTGGGTACTGCTGGTTTGAATCATTTGGAAAATTCAGCAATGTTTGTGAAGGGAAACTTTGGTAGAGGCAGTGGAAGAGGACAAAATTTCGGTAGAGGTGGTAGAGGCATTGGGGCACAGTCCTAGAATAATGCAGGTAGAAGAAGAGGCACTCAAAGGCTAAGTAAAGAAGAAAGAGCAAAACTCTACTGCACTCATTGTGGCTTCAATGGTCATGAAGCTCAAGCTCAAGGATGTTTTAAATTACATGGTTACCCTGACTGGTATAAAGAATTAAAGGAGCAAAGGCAGTCACAGAACGTTAATATGGCAGAAAGTGAAGGATCCTCAAAGGGTGATTCAGAAACTAAATCACAGCACAGTGATTCAATAGGTGACATAAGTTCTTTGGTTCAAAAGGAAGTTGCTAAGTACATTTCTAGCCAACAAGCTACAGAAACTCATTCCTTTTTTCACAATTTGTTGATTACACAGAAGATAAGGAAGATTATGCTTTTTCTCTGATCAGCAGACTTAATAGGGGCACTTGGATAACTGATACTGGAGCAAGCAAGCATATATGTTCTGATGTTGAATTGGTTTGCAAGAAATCAGTGACTGCAGTGCCTATTATTGTGAATCTTCCAGATGGATCAAAGGTGAAGGTTAGTCAGATTGGTGAGGTCAGATTTAATGATGAAATCATACTCAAAGATGTATTAGTGATTCCTGAGTTTAAATAGAACCTGCTGTCTGTTGGCCAATTGGTTGAAAAGGATGAACTTAAATTCGTTTTTACAAACAATGAGTGCAAATTGTTAAAAGGAGATGCAAATTCATTCATGGTTGTGGGAAAGGCAATTGGAGGTTTGTATATAATAGAGGGGCAAAATACTTATGCGAATGCTGTTGATGGGAATTTGATTAATCAGAAAGAACTCTAAGTCTGTGGCATAAAAGAATGGGGCACAACTCAATAAATTGCTCGAGGCACTTGAGTTTCATAAACAATGATAGCAGCAAATTGGACCTGGATATTTGTGATGTATGCCACAGGTCAAAACAGTGCAGGCTTCCCTTTCCTCTCAGTCACATAGAAATGGATATATGGGGACCACACCATGAGGATTCCATAACAAACAGCTCATACATGCTCACCATAGTTGATGATTATACTAGAGCCACCTAGATCTACCTGATGAGACACAAGGCAGAAACAGTCATCAATGTTAAGGCCTTCTTAAAAATGGTGGAAGTTCAATTTGGGGTTAAGGTAAGGCAAGTAAGAACTGACAATGGGGGTGGATTTGTCAACAAAGACATGGAAATGTTAATAAAGGATAATGGAATAATACATCAAAGGACCTGTCCATATACTCCACAACAAAATGGTGTTGTGGAGAGAAAGCACAGGTCCATCCTTGAAGTGGCAAGATCATTGGCTTTACAATGCAAATTGCAAAAGAATCTTTGGCCTTACAGTCTACTGGCAGCTGTACAGATCATCAACACACTACCAAGTGAGAAGCTGAAGTGGAAATGCCCTTATGAGCTCCTGCATGGTAGCAAACCAGCATATGACATGTTTAAGGTGTTTGGTTGCTTGTGTTATGCAAGTAAACTTGGTCCCAACAAAAAGAAGTTTGATGAGAGGGCTATGTCTTGTGTGTTTCATGGCTATATTTCAGGTATAAAAGGGTACAGGGTATATAGTTTGGAATCTAAGGAAGTATTTGTTTCCAGAGATGTTATTATTTATGAAGAAAAGTTTCATTCCTTTGACAAAGAAGCTTTGACTCCAGCAAGGGAGCTACTTAAGTCAGTTGTTGATTTTACTACTTATGAGCTTGACCCACCTATGGTGAGAAATGAAAGACATTAAATGCATGTTGAAGAAAATGTTGGAGTCAGGAAAAGTTGTAGGGTTAGACGTCCACCTGTTAGTTGTCTTGACTATGAAGTGAACTCACAAAGTGATGAAGAAACTAATCTATTCTTCTCTGAAATAGACAAGACAACCTCAGAGCCAACTTACTATGAGCAGGCCATTGGTGACAGCAGATGGATTGATGCAATGCATAAGGAATTGCAGGCTTTGGAGTCAAATAACACTTGGGTTATCACCAAGTTAGGAAAGAAAGCTATTGGATCCAAATGGGTATATAAAATTAAAAGGAATCCAGATGGCACAATTAACAAATTCAAAGCACGGTTAGTGGCAAAATATTTCTTGCAAAGAGAAGGGATAGATTTTGTGGACAACTTCTCACCTGTTGCAAAGCTTGTTTCAGTCAGGCTGCTTATAGCATTGGCCACACAATAGAATGGCAGGTAAACCATATTGATATCAATAATGCTTTCTTGCATGGGTTCCTTGATGAGGAAGTATATATGTTGCCTCCCAAGGGGTATGACAAGGCTAAAAAGGGGGAAGTTTGTTTGCTCAAAAGAAGTTTGTATGGCCTCAAGCAAGCATCTCGGCAATGGAATATTGAATTTTCTGATAAGCTCATCGCTTATGGGTTTACTCAGTCACCCCATGACCATTGTTTCTTCTTCAAATTTTTTCCTATCGTTGGCCTTGAACGTTTTCTGCTCAGCGAAAGCATTCGATTCTCTTAATCAAGAAACTGGCATTCATTCATCGAACGAAAAGAGGGGTATTTTGCCTACTAATATGAGTCTTCCTTACTACCGGTCAGCTCTCGCTTCTCATAACTTTCCTTCTCTTGTCCCGAGCTTCTCATAGCCTTTCCCCTTCAAGCTGCAGTCAGAAGGAGTCCTCCCGCCAAAGGCAAGACTTTCTCTCGAGAGTCAGAGCTTCGAGACGATTTTCGCAGATGTTTAATCTTGCGAGGCGTAATGGGCAAGATTTTGAGTACTCTCCCGACCTGCTTTTCTATCTAATAATGCTATCGGGACTATGACCCTGCTCCTTTCACTCCTTCGGCACTTAAATCAACTCGTCCTTTAACTCGAAAGTCATTTTCTTCAATTCTTCTGCGGCGTATTCAGCTTGGGCAGCCCGGAGCTGGGAAGCCGTCTTCTACGTGTCGGCCTCTATAGAGATCTGCTGGATTCTCTCCTCCAGACAGACAGTCAGGAAGGAGGCAAAAAAACACTCGTCAGAAATAGGACTACCTAAAACCACCAACTGGGACTGAGACAGGGCCCGGACTCCCGCGGGGGGCAGGCTTAGAATCTTATTCAGTGGGCATTCTTTGGCCTGGCCCTCTTCCGGCGTGGTGACTCTGCACCACCGAGCATATCCGGTCTAGCCAGCTACACTACAGAGCAGATATCCTACTCGTTCTTGCATTACGCGCTTTTTCGACCAGAACGCGCACAATGCCTTGCCTCTTCTTATTATTCTACGTATACGATCCTATTGATCACGATTTCCAGTTCATTAAGGTAAGGAAAACAGAAAATGAATCAAAATACGGGGAAATGAAACAGAGATCCTCTACTTCTACCGATTCGGAAAAGTCTTTCTAACTATTCAGAACAGTGGAGCTTTCGATCTTCATCTTCTCGCCTCCCCCGTTTGAGCTCTCAAACTCTTCTTTTGACTATGATTGGGCTTTATTCTGCGGCCGCCAAAAGCCTACCCTCTCTCGGATATTGAGTGGGTTGACCTGGTCTGAGGAGATGGGCTAGGCTACTCGCCCCATACATAGGAAGAGGGGGAAGTCAAGGGAAGCGGAGACCGGTAAAGCAGCAACTGGGGAAGCTGCAGTTGTCCTATATGCGCTAACCGGAAACTCTGTATCAGGTTGACTTGAAGTACCTCTACAACCCGTATTTGGGTAACTGCAAAGACTCGTAGCCGTATTCTTCGGTTTGCCACAGTGTTACCAATTCGTTCCCGAGAAAGAAGGGCAATTATCATCGCGCCTAGGTTCAAGAGATGATTTGAAATCGGAGGGACTATGAAAAGCAAAGTCTTTACTACTAGGGAAAGGTCTTGATAGAGCCTCGTATAGCTACAAAGCCGCTCCTCTACGCCCCTACAACCGGGGAGCTACGCCACATCAAACGGGTTTTTCTTTCCTCTAGCTTTCCTGCCAAAAAAGAGTATTCATAAGCAGGTGCCATACCAGCAGAAGATTGAGTTGGCTTCCAAGCGCCACTACAATAGAAGGAAAAAGGTCTTCTCCTTCGTACCATTCTAAGCTACGCGACTCACCCTTCGCCTGTCGGCTCACTACCGACGCGTCCTCTCCTTGACGTCGAGATCTCCTTAACGGCCTTCTTTTCCATTGATTGACTAAAGCCCCAAAAATCCTGACTTTTCTTCTCTTATTGAATTATTTGTTTTTGCCCTTCTTTAGAGATCTACGAATAAGCCCTTTGCCGATCTAAGACGGGAAGAGATTGTCTGATTTGAACCTCGTACTATGGTGGTTTTTTGACTTCACTTCGCTTCGTTTGTTTGGTGGAGCGTTAAAAAGGTTCGACCCTCTGTGTGGCAATTTTCTTGCATCTCTTTTTACAAGTGGGACACAGCAAGAGCACGACTGCTTTGCCTTCAGATATCCTTATCGAGTCTTTTCTGTAATCTCTATTTCATTTAGTAGCCCCCGGGGCAGTGCTTTTAAGCGTTCTGCTTTTATTCGCAATAGTTTATTGAGTATTTTCTTATGAGTCTCGATTCATTGAACAACCGGGAGCAATTTACTTGCGATACTTAGTTGACATTCAGAACAAGACTCTATTGAATTATGAGTTCAATACATCCTCTTTAGCAGAAAGACGGGTATTCCTTGCTCATTCTAAGACAATCACTGATTCTGATTCACAAACTTGGTGTGGGACTAATCCTCACGAAACACCCTTTACGTTCCGCCT